TTTATGGGACATATGTCCAAATGTAAGAGTTCACCATAGGGCCTCAACATCAGCTTAGTTTGTTCAGATGACCTAAACAAACAGATGGCGGTTTCAACAATAAGATAGATGCAGTTGGATAGGAAAACAATCCACAATAAAGGTAAAAGCATCTACCAGAAAGAAGTCTTTACAGTATTAACATCACACATTACAGGAAATATGTATACAATGCATCGAATATGGAGAAAATGCAGGGACACCAAATGTGATGCACTGAGATGCATCCTCACTGCAACAATTGCATCCCATTGCATCTGAAAGACCCACCAATTGTTACAGTGCCTGCCTCACATATTGATGTGAGAGTGAGGTCCACATTTAGTGTGGAACACTAGCTGATTAACTGTGTCTGTCCAGTCTTTCTTTAACTTCCAACAGTCCAAAGACAAGGATTAGAAATGGTACTTCAATTCTCCTTGAATCTGAGTATTGTTAACATTACAATGTATGGTATGGATTTACAACTTCCTTTTATATTTACAGCATGACGTTTCAACAATGTATGGGCTACTTCTTGCCCCTCCATAACAATGTATGGTATGCCCCTCCATAACAATGTATGGGCTACTTCTTGCCCCTCCATAACAATGTATGGGCTACTTCTTGCCCCTCCATAACAATGTATGGGCTTCTTCTTGCCCCTCCATAACAATGTATAGGCTACTTCTTGCCCCTCCATAACAATGTATGGGCTACTTCTAATCGAAGATGGGTGGAGTGACTAAACGACCAAGCAATCGATCATGTTTTCTCATAATCGAACACAAACAATTCTGGAACACTTGTTTTCATAAACAATATTTTTCACAAGGTTGGTTTTTGTCAGTTACATTTCATAAGCACTACAAGCTCGTTTCAAGTCATGATTGAATTTATCTTAAAGACTCCAAGAAATTTATGTTCCTGACATACTAGTCATCCTTTAAAGATGTGAAATTTTGCCAAAACACCCAAAAGAACTACATGTTTTTTCCTTATTTTTATGTGCATTAACAAATTTCATTAATGACGCTTACCAATTTTTTTTCAATGATTGATCGGTTGTAATAAACCAATCATCAATTATGAGATTTTAACCAAGTCCCAACACTACTCCATAACAATGTAATGTATAGTGATCAGGTGAATCACCTGGTGAATCATTCACCAGATAAAGGGGCAAGAAGTTGAATTGTTGCAGCCCTAGTACATATTATATTTGACAACTCTGAATCATAATTCCATAACAAAACATAAACAAAATTAAACAATTCCAGAATTGATTGAACAATTCCTGAATTGATGTGTGGTGTTGTGCTGTTTGTTTAATAAACACTGCATTATGAACAACATCCCCAACAATCAACAAAGTCACAAAGTCTGACAACTGACCCATTTAGTTGCCTTTTTAAAAACAACACATGTTGCTGGGGACATATTTTCACTGGAGCTCCAAACAGATCTTGTGTGTCGCATGTTATAATTGATGAGCTTAACTGTGGTGCAAAACAAACATGTTTCTTGAATATTTCTCTCGTTTGTAACTGTAGGCAGCAGAATCTCTGTACTTGTAAACAGAAAAGTAACTTAAAAGTTAACAAATTACACACTGGGGCGGATACAGCTTTTTGAGAGGGGGGGGGAGGGGGTGCACAGTTCATTTCAACCCATTTTCATGAGAGTTTCCATGGTCCTTTAATAAACTTTCAGGACAAAAGGGTGTGTGCGCACCCCTGCATCCCCTCTGTATCCACCTATGTTATATATTTTCAACAGTCAGAAACCATTATCATGTCCCTAGAGTGATCCTGTCTTTCATGACTATGATCTAGCGTATGATCACAAGGTTGTCTTGTCCAAACTAGAAGGTTCTCCAAGGGGGATATCTAACTAAAGAATGAGGACTATTTTTATGGATATACAACTTCTTTATTCTGTACAGGCGACGTTTCCGACATAGATTCTAATGTCGTTGTCAAGCAAGTGGTGTGGTCTTTACAACAACATTAGAATCTATGTTGAAACGTCGCCTATTCAGAATAAAGAAGTTGTATATCCATAAAAATAGTCCTCATTCTTCATCTACCCAACTTCTAGAATGCAAATCAAAGAAGATATCTAACTAGTTTGCAGATAAATTTGGAATGGTGATTAATGTAACAGGTGGGGAAAAAAATTGTGGGTGTGTTGTTGGAACAAGCATGTCAGTATTTGTATTACCTAGTATTACCACTTATAAAATTTTCTCACATAATTTTCATCATTGTGTAAATGGAATCTTGCTTGTGGTGGTACACAAAGTTTTATAAAGAAATATTGAATGGTTTCTGTATCGCCGGTGGGCAATTATCGGACGAAAAAGAACTCATTGATTCCTGATTCTTTTTGTCACTTTTGTGTACATGGATTGGGCAGGGGTAGGGAGTAGTTTGTATAAATATACTCGTATTCCAACCAATGCCTACCTTGGTATAGTGCTAAGTCGTCTAGTTTAAAATTTGATACCAGAGGTACACACTTAGATCTTGGATATGTTATATATATTTTACCTGACCCTTGGAAAAAGACTATAAAGGAATATGGGTATATAAACATCAATGATCTCGATATAAATTCTCTCCAAAAGGAGTTCATATCCCCAAGAAAAGGTTCCAGATTATTACATAATAATTGTTATCTGAAAATGTTAAACCTCATATGTGCCCAAAATGGGAAACATTACTTGATTGTATTGATTTTGATTGGCATTTGATTTTTTATATTTGCAGAAAGAATTTAAGAGATGTGAAACTGTTAGATTTTCAACATAGATTTCTACACAGAACTGTTTATACCAAAAAAGAATATAATGAATTTCTAAAATGAATCTTGTTGACAATGCAATATGTTCTTTTTGTAATGTTTCTGGTGAGACCTTTTGCCATGTATATTGGGAATGTGATGAAACCAAAACTCTCTGGAAGAAACTTGAACCAGGGCTCCAGATAAGGGCCGTATCGGCGTATGTACAGATAAAAAGTATGCACGATACTGTAGGAAATAATTTAGAAAACGTAGCAGATACAAACCACAGCAATAGTGTACGGTCTTAGAATCATTTACAGACGTATTTATCTGAAAAAGTATTGTTTTATTGTTTATTGACCTGTTTACACAAGAGCGGCAATGTTGTGGTTCACATATGAAACAAAACACAAGATTAATGATACTCCATTAAATTCCAATCAGTACTCTAAATGTACACCTAAGGTTTTCCAGTACTCCTATATTGAGAAAATGAAGAGTACGTACTCCTGATGTTGAAAAATTATCTGGAGCCCTGTTGAACGGTGGATTACGAAAAGTATCCAAGCACTTAATTTGACAAAAATCTTTGATCTGGTTTGGCTTTTTAGGTAAGAACCCATTACTGAATCACATAATCTTATCTGCTAAGAAGTATATTTACACTTGCTCTTTGAAAAAAACAATTCCAAAATTTGATGTGAAGCCCATTTCTGGTGTCCCCTGCCGTGATGTTGCTGGAATATTGCTAAAAGCGGCATAAAACCAAACTCAGTCAGTCAGTCAGTCCAAAAGTTGATAATTTCTTAAGGATATTAAAAGACATATTCACCAATGAAAAAAATCATTTCCAGAAGAAATAATAATGGTGAAAGCTTTTTAGCCAAATGGTTTCCTCTCATCCCAGAATTTAATCCTGAATGACTATTTAACCCAAACATATTGCTGATATTGATATTTAATATACTATCTCTCTATGGACCCACAAGCTGTTTTGTACACATGTATATTCCTCTATATGCTTGTATTCAACTTATTGGGATCAATAAAATATAACAACAAAAAAACCATATTGGTTAAAATTATTAAGTATGTCTGATTCTCATCATCCCCCAAAAATGTTATTACATGATGTAGTTAATTGGGTTTCGACTGACTGACTGACTGAGTTTTGGTTTTACGCCGCTTTTAGCAATATTCCAGCAACATCACGGCGGGGGACACCAGAAATAGGCTTCACACATTGTACCCATGTGGGGATGCGAACCTGGGTCTTCGGCGTGACGAGCCAACGCTTTAACCACTAGGCTACCCCACCGCCCCAATTGGGTTTCAAAGTGTCGAGCTATGTTGTACAGTTTGGGTTTGGGTTTTGTTTGGGAACAGCAATTTGTTAATTCTCCTACCTCGTTTTTATCTGAAATTGTGAGTGGGCTTTAATGCATTCATGAACAGAACTGGTATAGTTCACTTCGAAATGGGAACAAAACTATGTTGTATTCTTACTTCAAAATATCATTTTCCAGGGAATTGTATTTAAATGTAATTAACAATAAATAGTTTAGAGTAGCACTCGCTCAGTTTAGATGTTTTTCACATTTACGTATTGAAACTGGAAGGTATTATGATATAGACAGAGATGATAGATTATGTTTACAGTGGGAAGAAGGTTATATTGAGGATGAATTCCATTTTCTCCTCATGTGTTCCAATTTCAAAAAGCTCCGCTTGAACCATATACCTTAAACCTATTGTACCAATCCAAGTAAAGCTAAATTCAAACTCGATCCTCATGTCATCATCAGATTGTAAACTTATAAATAATTTAGCTAGCTTTATTTATCATGCAATACATCTAAGATGTTAAAATTATTAAATTGTACTGTACACACCATGTTTTGCCATGCACAATGTAACCTATGTATTTATGGGCCGATGGCCTACACTTCTGTAATAAAAGACGTGAATATTCAAAACGAAAAAACAAACAGTCGTCTAGTTATATGCTGGTCTAGGATAGGGAGCTAAATTTTACTTCTTTGATAGGCATTCTAAATTTTACTCGAACTTGGCAGGGACTTGCTGTGACTTCAATAGGGAAAAATCATCCATGTGCATGTCTCTAAATAACAGATTCATAGGGTGTCCCAGTCTCTCGGAGACACTCCTGTACACTGTACTTGACAACCCCGTAACACATGTTGCACAAAAACCTCTTAGCTGGGGCCTATCACCCAGCACTTCAAGAAAACCACCGTTCAATTGATCACGAACACAAACCAAGGTCAAGGTTGATGTAAGGACAACCTTTCTCTGCATTCAAACAACGGCAGATTTTGTCATCAATTGGTAAGTCAGACTTAGTTAAATGTGTAAGTGAATTCGAACAACGAGGGCTGACATTCCCTCCCTTATATATCGTCGCGGATCCTCACGGTAACGCATATACTCGCGGCTATATAATTAGGCCCTGCACCGAAAACAGCCGGGATGTCGGTTCGTCAGTTGAAATCAAAAGTCCGCTAATTTGACTCTATTTAGCCGCTTGTCGTGTACTTATGAGAGGATGATAAACACACGTATCTTAATTCGGCTCGTAAATGGGAATAATAAGCGTTAACACACAGCAAACTTACTTCTCGGCAATCCGAGACTGTTTCCTTTCCATCACCGGTGCAGTGGATATTTGCGGCCCATGAAAAGTGGTTCTCCCGATCGGATCTCTTTGGCGTTCACTTTTCACAACGTTTGAGGAACAATAGAACATGCTCCTGTTAGCCAGGTTTCAAAGAGCATCAAACGCATCTTACTCATAACTTGTGCGATTAACGTTACAACAGTCTAGACATCAGTAAAGCTTTCAAAAGGTTCTGTGGTAGTATCACACTTGCATATATTTCTTACTACCTTTTCATAAATTTAGTGTGAGAAAGACAGTCCTTGCTCTAAAAGTATTTATCACCCAATACAGTGTTCCACAGGAGATATTGCTTGTGTGAGATCATTTGATATCGTTTTGACAGTAGATTTTGTACAATGTCCTGACAATGCTATGACGTCATGAACTTGATGACGTCACAATGCTATGACATCGTTGCACTGCAAGTCTAATAGAGGATACTAACCTCGCTTCCGTGTAATACCAATTTTATTAATCGAGTTAATGATTTTAATAAAAATGGTATTTCACGGAAGCGAGTTTAGTATTCTGTTTATTACTCTCCAACATACATGATAGAAACTGCCTACAGTGTGATGACTCTCATGTCAATAGACCGATCCAGTCCCGGCCAATAAGCCCCGCCCACTTCGTTTTTGACGTTAGGGGGGACAACCACTGACAAATCACAATGGCGTCACCGCCGGCGAAACGTTACGTGATTGCGAACGTTGTTGATGAATTCTGCTTGTGATACTTTGGTATCCGTCGTTTGTGAATGTTATTTAAAGAGGCAAGTTATACGTATGTGATTTTTATTATATTATAGCTGGCAGATTGCAACTGGCGAGTGAAAATGAGTTACATGCCCGATGAAAAATCGTCTCGACTAGCTGCTGAGACTGTAGGAAGCGTAATTTCTTTCGAATCAATTAATCTATCTGGCAATTCACCTCCGTCACAGATATTAGCAGGTGAAGGGTAACTGAAATTTTGTTGTTTGAGTTTATAATTTTATAAAACTCGTGAACACAACCACATGTTCATGTTGCAGATCGTTTTGGTATCTATAAATAGATTATCAACACTGCGCGTGGCGCCTTTACTTATCCGTTGGCGTTGTTCAAATTTAGTTCAATAATCTGAAAACATGGGTTTCTATCTTTTAATGAATTAAGAGAATGGTAAATAAAAAGCAGAAAATATTTCCCGTGTACTACTTCATGCACTTTATTTGTCTGTATATAATTTATGTAAACAAATCAATCACATTTGGAAATCTGGAAAAGTAATAGGGCTTGTAAACAGTATGTTTCCATGGATGTATCTATAGATCTGGACATACCCAGAAGCAAATATTCAACAGCTGATCTGCAGCAATTCTCAGTAAAGTTTCTCTCTTCAAAATCTTACACCATGATAAACTGACACTGAATATAAGAAAATCATTTTTTTTAATCATTTCCATTTTACTTTTCTATATGTACTTTGTTGTTGAATCCTAATTTACATACAAACTTCCGCAATACTGGACTTCATGAACTGCCAGCGTTTATGTACAGGTATGTCACAGTACCAGAACACACAAAAGATCCAAGATACAGTCTGCACCTGTACACTAGCTGAGCCATCTTCCAGAAATAGGAAACATGTGATGCAAAATCTTGGATCCACAGTTATCCAAACAATTAACTAGCATTGAAATAGAATGTTACACAAAATACAAATGTAGATCTATTGTTTTTTCATCAGAGACGTTTAACTGCTAACTACTAGATCTAGTGTAAATAAGGTGCAAAGAATATATCCTATGTTCAAAGCTTTTTGTCAATACAATTACATATTGACATTATTGCTTCTTAATTAAACAATGATAATCTTTCTTTTATTAGATCTGAGACCATATCCCTCGAGAACATAACACTGATTTTGATCTATTTCCTTTTCTGAGATACTTACTGGTGTCATAAAAAATATAGTAAAGTTGATTCAAAATTTGTTAAAAGTCATAACAAAGGTTAAGGAAAACAGACATGAAAATGTCCTGAAGCATTCACCTCCTACAAACCAGTGTGCAATTTAATATGAAGCTCATTTTCCAAATAACCATCAACAAACCTTGAACAATTTGTCAAAATCCATCATCTTAATAAACACTAGCTATGGCTCAGTCTTCAAATATTGATAACCTCCTAAAAACTGATGATTTATCAGAAGAATTACATCAAATATGGGTTAAATATATGTTTCAATATTTATTCCGTTACATGAAAAGTCAACTGAGATTTTTGTAAGTTATTCTGTTCCAGGGCCTAGATTTTCGAAGCTCTCTTAGTCTAAGATAGTCGTAAGTTAATGTTAATGCATGGCACTTCCGACTATCTTAGCGCTAAGAGAGCTTCGAAAATCTAGGCCCTGCAGGACTGGATAATGCATGACCAGGGTTTGACCAAAACGTAGCCTTTGCTTTTTCAAATTCTCTGGATGTTGAAATAAATTTAATGAGTTATGATACTAGCAATCACTTTCAGAATTATCTTATTAGTAAATGTAGTATTTAAAAAAACATCAAAAAGCAGGAACCAAGAAACTAAGTTAATACCAAGTGATTGTCCTGCCATGATATGTATGGTGTTTGTTTGCCTAGTTCTGCCTTAAAATCATAAGAATCTGATATGTCAATCAATTAAATAATTATTTATTATTGATTAGATTAATATTAATTTTATTACCCTTCCACGTTTACTAAAAAAAGCAAGATTCTTAAAACATACCTTGCTATCATTTCCAGTGAATTAATGAAAATTACAGTTGTAATATTACTCCTAAAATGTACCAATATATGTGAATAATTTATGTGGTAACAAAACTTCAAATAATGTTCTCATAATTAAGATATACACTTTATTTCACTCCGTCCAATACTCCAGAGAGTCGATCACTATTCTTCTCACATAGTTTTCGTATTCGATCAACAGGGAGGAAGGTAATTCAATTCAAAGTCCCATGCAACTCTTTATAAAAAAAGCTGAAATATTTAAAGCATGGTTTTATAGGCACTCATATGAATTCAGTTTGATCCTTGGATATTGCGTGATAGGCAACTGCTGACACTGACAATATTTCCGTTTGAATAAAAAATATTACTCCTCGAATATTTTGCTCTGTTAACAAGATACTGTAGGCCTTCAGATTGTGCTTATGAAACTTAAAACATCCTAAAATGTGTGACAAATTGAAGAATATCTAAAAGCGAAGTGGACAATATCCACCACATTGTTCTTTCATGTAACAAGTTTTGCTATTTCGGTTGACCGTAACCGAAATGGAGATTTGTTTACATTGTGTCACGGCTTTCTCGCCTGTCTCATTTAAGCTTTATGGCGTACCAACTCAATGCCTAGTAGTGACTAAACACGTTAAGCAAAACCAATTTTGTAGTTACGAGAATTGTCCGTGAATATAACACTTACAAAATCTTAAATTGCTATTTGTTGTCATCAATTGGTAATGATTTTGCACATGTGCAAAAGTGTGGAAATTCGTGCAAATTCTCATCAGCAGGCAGACGTAGGTTTCCTGAACGATGGTGCAGACATTTAACTGATCGTTAGGCCTATCGCGTTTCTTGATCCGCCTCCATTTTTGTTGTCTTGACCGTAATGGTTTGTTAAAGGTACACATCAAATAGCAGCAATATGTAATAAATATAGCGAGTGTAAATGGCATAATTCGAAGCACATCGCTTCGGAGGCATCGTTTGACCCCGGAAATAAGTTCGACAAATCAACACAGCGCGCCCGGCCTGCTGATTAGCCAAATTTGGCGCATGCGCCAGTTTTGATTGACAGACTGGATCGGTCTATTTTCTGCGAGTCAAGCAAGGTCTAATACCATTGCGACAGAGGTACATGTATTTGCATTGTGACGTCATAACTGTAACCATTATGACGTCATATGTCTAGCGGTATATACACTAGTGTAATATTGCCGTAAAAATATTACACTTAAAATACAGTTCGCTCTACCACCATGTACAGTGTAATAAAGCACACTTTCGCCCTGAATTAGTATAGTATTAACGTTATAATACATGGTGGTAGAGCTACACATGTCGGTAGAGCGAACTGTATTTCTTTTCTAAGATACCAAATTTAATACTTTCTAATGATAATTACGATTAATCTGAGGCAGAAAACAAACGGCGGTGTCGGTGACTTATTATTAAGAATCCTTGCACAGGGCTAACTAACGCGGTGTTCTATTGACGTGTCTGTCCCCCTACGTTAAGACGAACGTTACCAGAAAAAAACAAATGATAAACAGTTTGATGACGGTTTACGTTCGGGTTAAATATCTTCTCTAAATTGTTTTAATTACATCTGTGCTTAAGGTAAACCATATGGGGCAATATGAAAGTCGCATTTCTACTACCAGCGTAAGTTTAGATCAGTACATCCAGATGAAGCTGACTAGTCAAGCGACATTCCACGATTACATTGTGGGAATGTAAACACTGCGAACGTTACCGTGTCGCTGTAAAATTGTGAGCCGAACTGAGACATTTTAGCTGTCGGAAAACATAAACGTAATGTTTCCACCAGTGATGTTAGCTTAATGAAGCAACTGCAAACCAGGAAACGGGATGCAAAGGAGTAGTTTACTGTAGGAGGCTGTACGAGGCGATGACAACTGACATGCATCGTGACGTCGATTACATTGTGACGTAATGCAAAAGTGTTCGATTACGAGGGGGCAGACTAGAATGGCACAGTGACGCCAATACATTGTGACGTAATGCAAAAAGTGCACATTATCGTCTGATAAAGTACTGTCGGCGCCTTTGATCTTTCACAGAAGTATCTTAGAATGCAGCATCTTGGAGTTCATGGAGTTACCCGCCTTTGCCTGATGTTTACAGTTCAGAACAGAGAGTGCAAAAGTGAAAATTTTAAGTGTTTAAGCATCGTTAAAGAGCATAATCCTGTATGTGGTTTTTGCTTGAACATCATGGTTGACATTGAAACATGGAGGTTAAGAATTGGATGTTTTGTAATGCCAAAAGGCTGTCGA